TCAGTTCTTTCTTCGCCACCATACATCGGATTAGCTCAAGTATTGCGATGTTCTAGCTGACCTATGCTTATGTGGCACCTCTTACTTGTTCTCACTCGTGAATGCTACCCAAAACACCTACGACTCTCCATCCATCACGTATGTGAAAAGTGCAAAAGTCTCGACTACGTTAGACTGATTTTAGTTCGGGTCTCATATCCTGCACATTCATATCGACCAATTGTGCGTTAGAGGTCAGCAGGAGAACGGCAAAAATTACTAGGTGACTAGCACACAGTAGATGACTCAGTTGAACAAACCATAACCATACTGTAATTGGGCAGCAATAAGCATAACGGAACCCGCACATAATTTTCCAAATTGGTAAACAGCCCCTTTTATCAATCAGAAACCAACGAATGAAAGACAGTAGTCAAACGTGCAACGAAGAATAACAGGACTTCAATGTTTTCAGTGCCGTTCCATGCGTGCAGCACGCATAAAGCGCAGTCGTACAACGTGGACGTTGCTGCGATACTCAGAACAATGCTTGTCATGCACCTCTGCCCAGGATTTGATAAAACAACCGGTCGGACAACGTACTGAGATGCGGGCAACGATGAAGTGGTCTCAGCAATCATGACAGATCATCAGATAATCAGACGGTCTAATGAGCTGCATCTGCTGACCATTGTCGTTTGTTCAGCGAAAAGGAGTTATGAGGTCAGAGTTTGTTCCGATCTTGCACTGTCGCACAACGATGTATGATACTACCTCAGTCCCACTTAGCGTTTGCTAGTCAGGGCCGAATATAGCCATATGCAGCAATTGCCCTGCGATTTCTACCTTCCGTCCATAACGAATATCCTTTACATGTTGCGATGTGCATATTCTGATCGAAACCTACGGCTTACTACCTTCGTCTGTTGATGCTGCTGGGATCCACGCTGCGCCATTTTAGTATTTCAAGCTAGCTACACAAAGTGGGAAACACAGACACGAATCGGCGAGACCAACGGATCCTCAGAAATGCGAAAGCTAAATCCATCCGTGATGATTAGAAGACGACAAAAACAGAAGAGCAATGCGAGGTTGCCTGTGTTCAAGTTCATCTACGCAGCCCTCAAAAATTGCTACGAATCGAAGAATACAGACAGAAGAAATGACTTTCCTCTAAAAGACTGCTAATGCATCAAGGCTCGAATTAGTGTAGGAGGCGCAAGTTGGCGATGTCAACGCTGACGCTGTCGCAGCTTTCTGTTTACCTTGAGATCATAAATTTTAGTATGAAAACAACTGGTCGATTTATGAGAAGAATCATGAGAAATGCATGTGAAAAGTTACACATCAGGCTCTGAGGAGCGAGCTAGGGTCAAAGTATTCGATACTGCAATGAAGATCTGCCACTCATGTGGCCTGGAACCGAGTCTTTTGAGGTTGCCCAATTGATGTAAGACTTGCATGATTCAAAAGCGATTCGAAAGTACAGCCGAGAAAAACATGCAATACAGAAGAGAAATAAATACAGATAACAATATATAAGCTTAGTGAGCGATTAACCGAAAATTCAATGAAATTGTTGAATGTTTTAGTACATAAAAGTACAGGCGAAATCATAGCGCTATTTACGAGCGCAATTCTAAGGCAACAGTACTTGTTAAGCTGATGACTTGGTTCAAGCAAATGTGAAAACTAGCCAAAAATATGGCTGCAGTAAGAATTTATGAAAAGACAAAGTCCACCTGTTACTATCAACTTTATCGATAGGCCTGTTACCTTGTGATACGATAGGACAATCCAATCTTAAGTACGAGATGCGAAAGCAAAAATTGTATAGTTAAAAAGCAACTAAAATGGCAACAAAGAAAATTAATAAATGTAAGTAGTCCGTAAACTGTGCGCACTGGTCATCGAATTTGCAAAGCATGTTGGTGACGATGGAGTGAGGTTACGTCGCAGTTAGCATCATCCAGAAATGCGGCACGACTATTACAACAAACCGATTTGCATGTACAATTAATTTGTTTTATTGGCTACTTTCCAGAAGCTTTAACGCACACTGCAATCAGTCCATCATACGATTTAACTTACACCTGAAAAACGTTTCTTTTCCACAAGCAAAATCACTGGCTGACATTGTCGTTGGTGCCCTTGGCCGGTGGCAGACCACAGCTAACCGAGAAAAAAATGCGGCAGCGGTGCACCATTTCCTGAATTGTGACTACTGACGGGGTGTTCTCGATGGTAGCAATTTGTACAACAAACAGCATATCATACAAACAAGAACGCGCAGATACAAAACATAGTATGCATGTTGTGGCTTGGCTTGAAGTCGCACGAACGAAAAACACCATCTGCGAAGCTTAATGCGCGTTCGTCGAAACAGTGTTCCAAAGGCAAAGCCGCTTTCATTACAGTAATATTACCAATTATTAGTACAAGCTTAAACGTACAAACAATCCAACTAAAATAGAAGTTCGGCAGGACTCTAAGTAGATTAGCTCGTGCTGCTGCTGCTGCTTTGCTGCTGTTGCTGTTGGAAAACGACGACGACGACGATGAAGAGGCTGACGACAACGACGACGACGACGACGAGGGCGTGACGACGACCAGAACGACGAGCACGAACTATGGCTCGTTCAAGCGTTCTGCGCCGTCAGCCTAGCTTTCGCGCAGTCCGGACATAGAATGTCCGTTCCGTCGGTGATGAAACCCTGGCCGACCAGCGAAGTCTCGCATTGCGCACATATGAAGCAGTCGTTGTGCCAGTGGCGGTCCTCGAAAGATATGAATTTTGTGCCACCGATTCCTGAAAGACGGACAATCCATTGCAAAGTTAAGAGAAACATGTAAATCATGTGCCACTACAATCCATTTACCTCAATTATATACCTAAGCAAACCGACCGAACAACAGCAACGAAAATCGCCACGCGAGTAGAGGGTAGAAGGAACTTAAATTGTGGGCAAACGGTCATGAAATCGGCTCCTCCGTTAATTCTCATGGTAGCTCAAAACGAGGAATAAGTGACATATACAGCCATCTTGTTAAAGGTCTTCTTCAGGGGCCATCTGACAATGGCATTTGAGCTCAGTGTTGGCTACGAATATCTCATTCCCTGGTAATGACTCGCCTTGTTCGTAGAAAATCAGTCACTGTGACCAATTGTTCCAATATATGTTCCAATATTTCTCCCGACAGCATTTGACACCAGATCATAATAATCGCTTCTAATATTCACCTCAAAATATTCTTTCCTTCTCCGTTTCGCCCAGTTTTCTGTAAACAGCGTAGTAAAGTGCTGCTCTTGCTATCTTCATACCTCAGGCTTCGTACATGCTTGATTAAGTCCAATGGTCGACTTCGTTGTCACTCAATACCTCGCTTAAGCTCTTGCCGGCTGTTAATTCAGCACATCTTAACATCACCTGTCCCTAGTCTATCTATTGAGAACAACCAGAATAAAAGTATTTCTGTTCATTTTCTGAAATGTCTTCGCTGTCAAAATTAAGACATTTATTGCTATGGTCTCTGGCTACATTCATTTAACCTGCATCATATAAATTTTTGGCGATACACATTTCAGAGTACCTCAGCTTCAGAACTAGCAACAGCAATGCTGATGTTTTGAAGATGTCCGCTAGCTATACATGATAATCAGCATGTTCAACGGAGCCTACTCGGAAGTTTCCAACTCTCATTTTATTCGCAACCTCACTGTTTCTCAACGTTTGCAGCGCCCAGTCAAGATGTAGCACAAATATCAGAGCTAATTCCACTATTGCTTGCCTTGCACCGACCTCGCAGGTCAGAATTTGCTACACTGGATTTGAAGAAAAATTCTTTTCATTATAGAAAAAAGGTTTTATGAAATTCCATAACTTTCGCCAATTTTCAGCCTGATTTTCAAGCTCCACCGCCCTGTACCTACGATGCCCAATGCTAATAACAATAATGCGCATGAACATTAGAATAAATCGCTTGTTTTCAGAGAAACTTCCAACGGGAACGAGACGCTGGTTTGATATGATATTTCATACATGAGTTATTAAAATAAATATTTATTCTCATTTAACCTATAGACAGAAATAAACTAAACCAATCCGTGACCACTGTTCCAACCTGAAATCCGTCAGGATAAGGTCTCGTGGTGGTGTAGGACAGTCGAAACTTGGCGTCTTTGCCCAACGTTTGGATAAAGAACCTTATTTGAACTAGGTTCTAAACTTTTAACCATTAGAAAAAAGTGCGTAGTTGTGTCATGTTGTAAAAAACGTTTTTTTACTTTTATAAAGAACACAGGGAAAAATAAATATTGGAAGTTAGGTACTGGAATAATAATCATGCAGCAGCGGAAACAAAGGTAAATCGATGGCACTCTTCCCGCCTATTCGTTTTACTGATGGTTTCCAGTTTACTCTTCCCGTTCGTCCTTTTCAGTTTTAATGAGTTATCTCGATGGAATCTCACTGAATGACATGGTTTTTCTTGATGCTGTGCCCTTCCACTGCTGAACCTCCTTTAACCATGGAGCTTCAGCCCAGTTCATTAAGAGAGGTGTCAGCACAAGTGCAGTTGATACCACAAACCACCCTCTGGTTCGTCTCGGCAGCATCTCTGTCTCTTGCAGATGGCACCCTAGCTACTGTGGGTAACGGCGTAGCGTTTTAACTTCGTGTCTGGTCATAACAATTTTGTTCCATCCCTCAGATTTTTATGAGCCGCTACCTGAGCCAAATGAGACTCCTCTTGTAAACTAGGCACAAATACTCCAAGTAAGGCCTATCCTACGGCGGTTTATTACAAACAAATGCAGATTCGTTGCGAATCTCGCTCCGCCCATTCGTCACTCCATTTTTACTGATTTCACCATATATTAAAAAAATAAGCATTTATTTAAAAAAAATTATTTATGAAGTCTAATGCAACGCCAGTACCTCGTTCCGCTTGAAACTTTCTCTGAAGTTATATCACCAGCTTTAATCAGTGCTGTGTGCACTTCCAAAAAAAAAGTTAATTGAATCTTGCTTAAACACTTCAGCAAGGCTAGACAGTAGAGTTCAACCGCGGTAGTTACTTGAATTCGTGGACCCGTCTGACTTTAAAATCAGAACAGCAACAGCTATTTGCACCGTCATTCGATATGTCCGCTTTCGGCGGAACCATCTCAAAGAATTCCATTAATGCCGCATTCCGTCTCTTCCAGGCTTTCAAGTTACATCCTGTTCTATTCCCTAAATTTCTACGGTTCTTCAGTTGGCCTACGGATTATTTTACTGCCTCAATTGCCTACGGACCAGTATCAACTTTCATACTTAGTCCAGGCAAGAGTTTGCGCCACACGGTTTGTTTCATTTTCCTATTAGGATAAAGGAGCGATTCAAATCGCCATCCAAATTTCAAATAGTTGTTACTCTAGTCTTCATTCTGTTAAAGAAGCAAAGAACCTTCCTGCACAAGGTCTTCATGTCACATTTTAGAAGTGTTTTCCATTATTTCAGGCTACTACTTTCAGAAGAGCTCCTCATCTTTCCGTAATGCTTTTTCAATGCTTTCCCCGCGTAGACCTCTCCTTACTATCTGTCAATCCTCAAACTTGGCAAACGTGTCTTTTGCTTGCAACGCTTTACTTCTTTTCCTCTTTTACTGCGTCCTAGTGGCGCTTCTGCACTTTTCACTATTGTCTCTTTATACATAATGCTATAGTGCAGCCATTCTGTAAATATTCTCGACGTACATTATTCATATAGCACCATACTCGATCTGTATCAAAGAGCTACATGATAAACTATGAATAATGCTATGGGACATCATTGCATCAGGCATTTTTGGCAATTTGGAACGTAGCTGCTGAATGAAGGAATTAACCGCAACCTCTAAAATGTTGCCATTGTCATTTATTCTTAAATCTACGTACAAAATAGCAAATAATTTATACAGGA